GCAGAGAAGAGAGAGCTTTTACTGGTTTAGAGAATGAGGTAGGATGTGGCTTTTGCTATCAACATCCTTCTGGTCACCTAGTGGGGAGGAGGAGAAGCCAAGGAAATACGAGAGGATGCGTGGCTTAAAAAGTGTAAATGAATGTCAGCAATAGCTCTCATTGCTGAAAGTCATTTAACAAGTAGCACCAGAGATAACAGTAATTGGGAAAGTTGTGTTTGTCTTTCTGGTTTTGGCAAGCCAGCAGTATGACTTCAGTCAGATGTTGTATCACCTTTAATATTACCTATAATAGCTTCATCATACATATTGGGAGAAAGGTCTTTAGGGAAAACTAACCTTACAACCTTCCCCACACAGGAGTCAAGTGGAAGGCATAATGCCTGAAACTACTTTGACAAATCTCATGGTATCCTGATATTTAAAGTCTCATTTCTGTGTTTCATTCTTTTTCTCTTGTGTGTTGCTTCTTGTAAGATGCGGGCGTATGTCTGTAAGCTTCATGTATTGGCATGCAAACCTACCCCCTCTGGAGTGACTAAACCTCCTGTGTCTGTCCTAATTAGTTCAATTTAGGTGGGAAAGTTTATAGGGTAGTAAGAGTGTACTTGTACGTACATCTAATAAAATTGTAAAATGCTGGATAGTCGATGACAAGTAAATGCTAGTTTTGAAATACTCTTCAGTTTTAAATGTCCATTTAATTGTGAGCTGTTTTCTTCTCCTTTCCCTCTGCTTAGTTTTCAGAGTACATCCAAGCTCAAGTCGATTCTGGCAAAGGAAAACTAGCTCCTGGTTTTGATTTTGATAAGATTGTTAAAAATATGTTCACCAATCAAGACCGGGATGGAAATGGTAAAGTTACTGCTGAAGAATTCAAGTTGAAAGATCAGGAGGCCAAAGAGGAACACGATGAACTGTAAAGATAAGAAAAAAAGAAGAGTCCTGAGCTGACCTACTGTTTGAACACGTGTACTGGAAGGGGTTTTGGCAAGCATGGTTCTGGAAGGATAGCCTGGGTCTGCCTGTGCTGGGGTGTGGGTAGGCTCTTAGAATAGGAAGAGATTTTTAGTTGGAACTGTTAGGTATATCTGAAGAAAGTGTTAAGTGCCTCAAGGTAGGATGTATAAACAGGTAAAGAGTGTACTGCCATATGTGGTGTCATGATCCACGTGATCTCTTTTTATGCTAAAGATCAGAAGTTCTCATGGAACAATACACGGTCACTTGGATGGATGGTAGAGAGAAAACTTACCAAGTGCTTTTAAAAGAGTTTTTAAAACCCTTCTGTATCAGAAATAGTTGTGCAGGAGAATGAACCAAAATATTCCCCTTGAAACTAACCTGTAAAAGTTGTTAGCTGTTGATCCCAGTTCCTTTCAGAAGGCGTGAGCACTCTTTCCAGTAACTGAACAAACTCACATGGATATTTGCCAGCAGAAAATCTGATTTGCAAATTGCAGAATGTGCAAGCGATGGCTGTGCCATCGCAAAATTTCCATAAGCTGTGAATTAAATTAAACAGGCCTAGAATCAATACTGTGTATGTGTTGGGTTTTTACCTCACGGAATAAAAGTTTTCTTCCATCTGTATTGTATTGAATTAGTAACCTTGTTTCTTGCTGGCTAATGTTCCCATCAGTGATTCCAAAACCTTTCCAGTTGCAATCCTGGACATTAAATATTAGTATTACAAGTCCAAGTGCTGTCATAAATACTGGATACAGTTGATTTTGTGTTGGGCTTCTGTCTCCTATTTTGGGAATTGCTAGACTAAGGAGTAAGTGCTTAGAGCTTAAGCAGCAGAGCAGTCTGCAGTGGCAAACAAACAGACAGACAGTGATAAAATCAAGAAATAGGCCCATCTGTTTGTGTGTACAAACGTTCTGGCCTATCCCTCAACACAGAGTCAGCCTGAGAGTGCTGTTTAGATTATATGAGCTCTTGAGACAGTCACCCGTTAGCTCGATAAAGGGAGCAAAGCTGCTTAGCACTTAATACCCATAACGCACATTTTTTGGAAGGCCGTGTGATTCCCCTCAGTACACTACATGTAAAGTGCACAAATATGTATAGCGAGACACTGTCAAAGAGGAGTAGGAAGGGAGTTGTGTTTCCATTATATGCTTTCTGTCTAGTTTCTTGCTTTCCTTGGTCTGTACATGTGGGATGTAAGCTTCCTGAGATGCTCTTTCTAAAAGCTGGTATTTCAGTTGGATGAAAACATTTTGTATTGGTTTTTAATGCAGTTCTTACAGAAAGTGCAGTGAAATATTTTTTTGAGTTTGATACCATTAAATGTTGGATAACTGATCTTTTTGTTAAATAAAATTTCTATCAACCGCTACTTTTTTCTTTCTGGCATTTTTGTGGGTTGGGATCTTGAGTTGAAGCAAATACCCTTCCTGCAGCTCTCTTCTCTTGCATGCAGCAGGCTTATCCTAAATATGTTCAAATTTGCTGTTCATCTTCAGGAAAAATATTTTAAACTAAGATTATGGGTTCTATATTTGATTCAAAATTATAAAAAATAGTAGACCACTATTAAAGACTTTTTTTTTCATACCTCACACAGGTGAAATGAAATAATTCTTTGGCTTTAGGAGGCATTTTCTAAATTCCCCATCCCATATTGCCATTGGCTGTGACAGCTGGGAGGGTGATGGGGACTCCAAGTCTTTCACTGAATGCAATTGTCTTACACAGAAAACAGCATTTCATTCCCCAGTCTAGCAAAAGCAAACTCACCGAGCTGTGCATGTGAGGTTTGATGTTTTCACTTAATCTGTAGCTCAAAACCCACATATATTGCCTGTAAAATGCTGGAAGTCTGGTCTGATTTGGGCTTGATGTAAATACAGGCTCTTTATAGCAGATGTAAAAATGGTGGATATTGGTGACTGGTACTTGGAATCAAAAGGTTTATGTCCTGAATGGCTCCTCAGAAGCTTCACTGTCTTGTGAAAGCAGCTTCCTCAGAAGACTGTTGCACACATTTTTCCCTTTTGTTTTATTGGGAAGCAAGTTGCTCACTTTTTGCTCTGGTTCAGATGCGTTGCTTCTCCGTCCTGACAGAGCTGAGAGAAGGAGTGGGAAGCAAGTTGTGATTTGAGTGCTGTCAGAAGCAGTTCCCAGTGTGGAAAGAGCTCCTTATCCTTACTCTGTTCTCATACATACCCCCAAAAAACCAAGTCTGTCTTCTGGGTATCTCCCCTCCTTTTGGGAGTTTGGAACTTGATGATCTTTATGGTCCCCTCCAACCCAAACCATTCTGATTCTATGATATACTGAATTGTTTTGTCTGAAAAAATCTTAGTGAATGGACCCAATCTTTCTACACAGAGGAACATTCCAGGTGGTGGGCTGAAGAGTTCCCAGTAAACCAGGATAAACAGAGTTGTCCTCCAGGGCAGATGCAAGACAAAGAGCAACACCGAAGTGCAGGCAGTTGGTAATCCCAAAGATCGCTGTGCTGGATTTATTTGGAAGTGATGGGATAGCAGAGGTGACTTTACCAGTGCCTCCAGCTAGGGTAAGTACATCTGAAATTCTCATTCCATTGCTTCTTAGGCCTTAGCAAACATGGCTTGTGATCCATCTAAAGATGTTTTTCTGTCTAGAGGAAGTATTTGTTGCCCACTCACCTCATCCCTCCAAGTCTGGAGGTTGCCATTTTGGAAATAAGAATGCAGCTTTGGGGAAAATCGGAGAATATAAGGAAAAAGTTGCTGCAAAATAATTGTATTTATACTGGGCATTGCCCAGACAAACCAGGTCCATCTAGCTGCATTAGGCTAAACTGCATACAATCCAGAATTTCTGACTGCTAACATAGAGCCAATCTTTTCCTTTCTGTTGGTAGCAATTTGCTTCTCCCTCTAGGGAAAGCTCAGGGCCACCTTCCTGAGAAAAGGTTTGCGCTTATGTTGAATCTTCTACCCACTGCTTCTCAGGGTGTGTGGCAGCCCCCTAAAAGTGAGGGCAGTCTGCCTGCCTGTTCACTAAACCAGAGCCTGGAGGCAAGGGAAGCTGGCTGGGAAGTGAAACTGTGCTGGTGTGGACTGGGAGAGCTCAGCACAGCCCTTGCACGCACAGCTCCAGCAACAGATAATCCCTCTGAGTCACCAACCTGTTAGAGAGGGTGACCTGTGAGGAATATGGATATATGGTAAATATTTTCTACCTCAAAATGTAACATATTTTTTTTAAGGAGAAAGTAGCAATTTATAATTTATCTATTTGTATCTATCTACCTATTTAGAATTTATCTGTTTGTTTAGAATGTATCTATTTATGTAGCATTTAGAATTTATGTATTAGTATCTATTATCTACTAGTATTTAGAATTTATCTATTTAGAACTTATCTATGGAATATATCTATTTAGAATTTATTTATTTAATTAGTATCTAGATACTTTTTCACATACTTAACTAACTTTAGAAAAATAGATCATAACTCTCAAGCGTCATTAATAGCCAGATGTAACTAGCTGGTTAAGCTAAAGAGGGGCTCTCTAGAACTCAGAATGCTGCTACTCCTCTAAAGAAACAGGCAGGTGCTAATCTCAGAGCTGGGCAGCTGACTGCTGTTAGAAAAGGAAGTTGCTGGCAGCCAGGGTTGGCAATTGCCAACTGAATTGTCTGAGGCTCAGTGCAAAAGAAAAGGAACCTGTGTCTGTACCGTGAAAAATCCAGGTATTTATAATTATTTTTTTTCTGTCCTAATTTGATAACAATATTTTCTGCTGTAAAATCCCACCTATTCCAAGTATATGAGAAATTTTGCTTAAATCAAAGTTTGCCGTTGTTGAACTTGAATGTTATTTTTTTCCTTTAAGCTTAAAAAAGGCATATTTAGCTAGTACTGGGTGCAAGTTTTTGGCTCAGTTCAGGACTATTAGTGTGTGTTTGACAGTAAGAGGACATTTGAGCTGGCTGCAACACCCACTCAAGAGGAGGAATCATTTTCAGCTAAATAAAGGTCCCAAATACTTGACCTTGGACATTTGCTACAGACAGAACAGATATTGTGAGTAGGAGAAGAAAGAAAAGTAACGAATTCACTTAACTTTGCTTATTCCTTGCTTTAAACTGTAGATATACTCTTTTGGCTGTGGGAAAATGGTCTGGGAAATGTATGATACCTTTCTTTCCAAACTAAATCATAAATGAAATACACTTTTAGGGTGGCAAAATGTTTCTGGTTAGAAATTTGATTTAGAAAGACATACTGTGAATAGTATCTCTTTCCTAATATTGAATGGAGAATCTCGATAGTACTTACAAGAATTAGACTTCCTGGAGTAGGATGGTTTAACCTGTAGCTGTAGAGTTAATTTTGCTTGCAGTTAATTTTGTTCATGGCTTTGGAGAGGTGACTGATAACATAGATTCCTCTACTAGCCAGTAGTCTAGTGACAAAAAGGTGGGATTTTGATAAAGTGGAGGATATCTAAAAATGCATCTTGGGTTTTCCCTTAACTACCACATAAGCATGAGTTGTGGCTGGCAATGAGATGTGAGGATATTGATAATCTCTACACCACCATGCAGGTTTTTAAAATCTGATTTCGTGTTTCAGGTTGATTGTGTAAGTAACTGTTTCTTTTAGAAGGTTGTATTATGGCGTTTCAAAAAGTAAATTATTTGGCATGGAAATACCCTTTGTACAGCAAATGGGTTCTGCGGGGTAACTGCAACATGGCTTAGTTGCTCTTATGTCCTAGCAAAGGTTTACTGCTCTGGCAGTTACTTAACATAGGAACTGAGACTGGCAGGACTTACTGATAGAAGGAGAAAAGCATGCTGGAGATCTTAACTTACCTGACTCCTCTTGTAAGGACAAGAATCCTTTTCTTTAAGTGGTTGTCATTGTGGACTGAACATTTGGTGACTGACCATTCATTGTTCACATGCTTGGAGGTGAGATTGGAAAATCTTCCTTAGATAATGCCTGAAAGATGGTGGTTTGATCTGATATCGTCTACGAAGACAAAGAGTTTTAGGTGTCCCTGTAGTTGAGAAACCAAATGCTCCCTTCTGGTATGTGTGGGCTCTCTAGGCAGGCCGAATACTAATTTCAGTAACTCGGATTAAAATGTAGTTGGACATCTGGTTTGGTAACTGCTTTTAAAGATGCTGCCTCATCCTTTTCTATGTTGCTCTGCATGTGCTTTTCTGTGTGGTTTTGTTTGATTTACTTGTGTGTGTTTTGTTCATTTGTTTGTTTTGGTTAGGGTTTTGTGCTTTTTTTTTTTCAGTTGTGGGTTGAAGAATAAGATCTTCATAACAGTAAAGGTGTGATGGCTCACTCACCTGTTGGGTAAGGTTGAGGAAAAATTCTGGAGGGAGAATCAATGAGTTTATGTGTATTCTCAGGCAAGGTTGATGAAAACATGGGACAGTCTTCCCTTTTCAGAAACACTATACAGAGAGACCAGAATTGCCCCCCTTCTTTTCACCGATGCTGGGGTGGTCAGGGAAACCCGTTCCACTTGTAGCTCAGAATGATCTTGTGCTACAGAGTGTGTTGCTGACACATCTCTTGCTGTGGAGCTGTGACTATCAGCTACACTTCACATATTCTAAATTTAACTGTTATCTGTATTCCAAAGATAAGCTGCTTGTAAATGGAAAACTTTATCCCAGTGTAAACTTTGGGAGTATTGCCTGGTAATTAGCCCCTTGCAACTAGAGGCTGGTTGAGTAAGCAGTGCATCCAAACACCTTGGTGTTTTTCCGAAGGCCTTTGCCTTTTGGACTTTTATTTGGCATCTGTGACAAAAGCATGATTGCATGTTTAAAAAAGCACTAAACCCAAGAACCATCAACCCTACTTCCCTGCTCCCCAAACCTTAACATTACCTCAGCTAACGTAAATTCTGTAGGTGCCTAAAACTCCAAATGTAGAATGTTAAAGAAATTGCTGAGCTCCCCTGAAAATGCTGCAGCATTCCCTAAGAACCTTGCTGTGCCCAGGTGGTGCAGACCTGGTTGTTGAGCAGGCAGCTCACACCGATGCCCTGCAGGGAGTCACACGTAACATTGCCCTGCTTGTCTTGCCGGCGGTGCTGAATCTGTAGTGCTGGCAGAAGATGACTGTACCGGAGCCTGCTCCCTCCCTTACAGTTTTGCCATGACCATCCTGTCCTCCTCCCTGCCTGAGGCAAATTGGGGAGACAGGGAGAAAGGCCAGAGCCCAGGCCAAACTTCACACCCAGTCCCAGTGACCGCTGACTCAGCAGCTGTCACTGCTGCCTTCAAGCTTTCCCTGTTTTTGGCTTTGGCTGACAGGCTCTTGGCAGGCCAGGGCTGAGGCAGCTGCTGCTCCTGTCTCCTCCTGTCACTGGTACTGCCAGGATGCTTTCAGCTCTTCCAATCTGCTGCTGCCTGAGTCATGGCTCTGGAATGGAAGACAGCCAAGGTGCTCTTCTCTCCCTGGTTGTCTTATTGGTTTTCTGCTCCAAGGGACAACTTTAAGGCTCCTGCTTCTGGGGCACCAGCTGCCCCTCTGCCAGGAACAAGGAATTACATACATGACTAGATCCTGACAAGGAGGACATCTCCCTCAAACACTCTTTGCCTGTTCAGATGCAGGCTGGAATTTCTGAAAGGTCCCTGCGCTCAGCAGTTCCCTGCTGGCATAGCATGTGCCATGTGTTCATGTGCTCACAACTACCTCAGATTGTGTATCAAGCCTCTACCTTGCATTCAAAATACAGGGGGGATTTAACTTTAGCTTACTGCAGAATGGGGTTTGGAAACTATGCCCCTCCTCTTCCCTTCTTGGAAAAGTTCCAGCAGGGATGGTAACCAGTGTAAATCTGCTGATTTGGTGCTACTAAGTCAGAATTTAAATAACAGATCACAGGTTGGAGGGAAAGAGGCCATTTCTTGAGATGTGTGTTACTTCTGGTGGAGAGAATGCAGATCTAGGCTCTCCCACCTTTTCATTACAACTCCTCAGGGAATGGAAGATGGCACAGCTGTGAATGAAATAAAGCAGAGGGGAACAATGACTATATTGCACATTAGAGAAGTTGTATGATTGCCTCCATTTTATTAATGAATAGATTTAGTACAGCTGAGGCCTCATAGGACCAGGGTCACAACATCATCTTTTACTTATGCTGCAACATATCCAAGTAAGCTTCCAAAGTTGTGGTGGTATTAAGCTGTATTTTTCTGTACACAATGCTGAGAGGTGCTGCTCAGTACAGGGGAAATACTTTCTGAAGAAGAGTGTGGTGAAACACTGTCAGAGGTTGCCCAGAGAGGTGGTAGATGCCCCATCCTTGGAAACATTCCAGGTCAGGCTGGATGGGGCTCTGAGCAACCTGATCGACTTGAAGATGTCCCTGCTCAGTGCAGGGAGGCCGTGTACTATTAGCTTGTGAAACAATCTGTTGTTACAAAGATGAGAAATTTTATCTCAGACTAACTTAAAACATTCTTCCCATTTCACAGACGATAAGAAACAGTAAGGATAGAGAATGTTTTGTAATGATACAAAAATCTGTGAAGAAGAAACACTTTGCCTGAATTGGGTGAATAAAGCATTTTTACTGGAGAAGAATATATGTATGAAAAACTTCTGTGAAAGTATGTAGCATATGAATAAGATCCTTCGAAGTACAGCTGAGACTGAAATGTCTTCTTTGAAAAGAAAAGGCAACACAAACGTGCACACTGCTTGTTCACAGAGTGTTTACACCTTCAATTTTACAAAATAGCCACATTTTCTAAAATGCTGCTCGGAAATGCCTGATTAAAAAAGACAGTGAACCATACTATCCCATCCGCAGCAGTATATCACATCTATAAATCCAATTTAAATCTAGTTATAACAGGAGTGTGAGACAATAAAGAACACTGTAAGAGCAGTAAAATGAGCTTGTAGTTGACAATTGATACCATATATATTCCAGAATACCAAAATGAAGATAAAAGTTTTAAATTAAATTAAACAGTTCTGTAAATGATTAATAAACACATCTAAAATAGCACACATGTGCTCTTCTGTCCAGTTGCCTCCTGAAAGGAATGGAGTGACTTGAGACTGCAATTTACAGGATTTTCTGTAGGATGGAGTTGGCAACTTCCAGGGATTCATCTTTCACCAAAACAATATCATAAGAGTCCATATATTTTTCCAGAAGCTCATCTACCTAATTGCAGATGGGATAAAGAGAAAGAATTGATTATTGAAAGACTTTTTGTCATTAAAATATTGCCCAATCTTTCCACCAATTGCAAGGGAATGAGCCATGCAAATAATGTATTGCTCCTACAAGTGAATTCCACAGGAGGACAGAGTAGGAGTGGCCATAGCTTTACATGCATTCCAGGATATAATACCTCAGGTTTATTCCAGGATCTCACACATAAAGATACTGAAAGATAAACTACTTCTTCAGCTTCCCAAAAGACAGGGAGATATAGAAAAGTGGATTTCTTTCTCTCCTGAATGCAAGTGGATGTGCATTATAACTTAGCAATTGATCAGTTGTATGTCACTTAAAAAAAAAGAGGAGAGCCTAAATTTGTTATTTGGAAGATCATAATTTTGCTCAAGTATCAATCCAGTATTGAAAGGAGGGGGAGAAGCCACAGGAATTTAAGAGAATTAATTTTTATAGCCTCTGAATTTTACTTCTCTAGGAAATACCTTTTTGGTAGCAGTTCAGTACAAAAGCCAAAGCAATATACACTTGCGTTTTTGTAGCTTATGTCTTATAAAAAAAAGAAATCTAGGAAAAATATTTGAAGTCTCAGAACAAATATGGGCCAAACACTTGGTTTGATATCTGAGGCATATAATGAACCTATTTCTAACTCCCAGTGTTTCATTTAAAGCTTACAAGGTTATGTAAGGATACTTACTTTATCATTGAGATAGCCAATTTTAAGAATGTTCTCGACATTTGCTACTCCATCTGCCATACTCAAGTCTCCTTGAGAATCACCCAGCAGTATGATATTACTGTTGTCTTTTAGTTGTTTGAAGTACTCTGTGTTCTTCAAGGCACC